GCTGCTGCGGGAGACAGTCTTTTGTTCCTTAGCCTTCCAAGAGATAAGTGAGGAGCCGAGAAAAACGCAGAAACCCGTGACTGAACGACGAGAATCCGGACATGAAGCCCAGTCAGCATCGGAGAAAGCCTGAAGACGTAAATCTGTAGTGGCAGAATAAAATAAGCCTTGGCCTGGATTTGCCTTTAGATAACATATAACACGATGAGCAGCTTTCAGATGGTCGGTTGTAGGACGATGCACAAACTGACTGAGTTTATGAACGGAGTAAGTGATGTCGGGTCGAGTAATTGTAAAGTAAAGCAAGCGACCAATCAGATTGCGAAGTTGAACAGGGTCATCAAGCAAAGTTCCTGATTCTTGATGCAGTTGAACATTGGGATCCATTGGAACCGAAACAGCCTTGCAGCCAAGAAAACCAACATCATCGATCAGGTCAAGACAATACTTACGTTGAGAAACTGAGATTTCAGTGGAGTTGCGAGCGATTTCAAGACCGAGAAAGTATTGCAGTGATCCCAGATCCTTAATGCAAAAATGCTGAGCAAGAACAGACTTGAGAGTAGCAACCGAAGAAGTGGAATCACTGACAATTATTATGTCATCCAGATAAACCAAGAGAGCCAGAAAAGCAGAATCTGTATGCTTGATGAATAGAGTGTGATCCGATTGAGATTGAGTGAAACCATTGCAGAGTAAAACAGAAGAAAACTTCGAGTACCACTGCCGAGAAGCCTGGCGCAGTGCCAGAAGGTGGAGTAAAACCTGGAGGAAGAGACATGTACAGATCCTCATCCAAGTCACCATGTAAAAAGGCATTGGCAACATCTAGTTGAGTGATGCTCCAGCCTTTAACCGCAGCAAGAGCCAAGAGCATTTTGACAGTGACGAGCTTCGCAACAGGAGAAAACGTGTCAAGAAAATTAATGCCTTCTTGTTGGGTATAGCCTTTGGCAACGAGTCGCGCCTTATGCCGATCAATTGTGCCATCTGCATTGCGCTTAAGCTTGTAAACCCATTTACAGCCAATAGCGCGTTTTGTCGGAGGCAGAGAAACAATGCTCCACGTTCCGTTCTGCATAAGAGCATGGAGTTCATCTTCCATCGCCTTCTGCCATTGAAGAGAAGAAATTGCCTCTTTACAGTTAAGAGGTTCTTTAGCATAATCAATATTGAGAAGGAACTGGGAATACTGAGGAGAGAATGCATCATAGCAAAGAACATTTGACAGAGGATGATCTGTGGATGAATGCAAAGCAGAGTGAAAATAATAGTCAGGAAGGTAACCTGGTTTGCGTTTGGACCGAAGCGGACGAGAAGGCTGAGGCATCTCTGGAACGATCGAATCAGGAACATCAATTGGCAAAGATGCGAAACAAGACCCTGGAGAAGAAATTTCTGCGGATTCCAACTGAACTTGAGGAGTTGTATCAACAGGGACTAGAGGCGTCTGAGCATGAGTGGGAATGTCAAGTGGAATTGACAATGGCAAAACTGCTGAAGAGAAAATGTCTGAAAACTTAGTAGAAGCAGCCGACCCATTAGCAGAAAACGGGAATATGTCTTCATGACATCTGACATGGCGAGAAATGCATATAGCGTTTGTCTCTTTGTCTAACAATTTGTAACCCTTGTATCCTGTAGGATATCCAATAAAAATGGCTGGTCTTGCTCTGGAAGAAAATTTGTTTCTGTCCTTCTCATAAGTTGAGTAATAGCACAGACAACCGAAGACGCGGAGATGATCGTAATCAGGGACCTTCCCAGTGAGCACCTCAAGCGGACTCCGATTATTCAAAACAGGGGTTGGTGTGCGATTGATGAGGTACGTCGCAGTCCGGATACAATCGCTCCAGTAAGCAATCAGGAGGTTAGACTGAAACATCAAGGCGCAAGCAACGTTAAGAAGATGTTGGTGCTTACGGTCGACAACGGAATTCTGTTCCGGAGTATATGCACACGAGAAGTAATGTATAATGCCATGCGATTTGCAGAGATTAACAAAACGTAACTCAGCAGCATTGTCACTTCTAAGTGATTTAATATTAACATTAAACTGGGTTTTAACCATCTGAACAAAAGTAGGAAATACAGTGATAACATCACTCTTGTTCTGAAGAAGATACACCCAAGATGCTCGTGTGCAATCATCTACGATAGTAAGAAAGTATCTAAAACCATCGACGGAAAGAGTTGAAAACGGTCCCCAAACGTCGAGATGCACGAGAACAAAAGGCGCTGCACTGAGATTGTTCCGAGGGGAAAATGGCAATCTCCGTTGTTTAGCTAAATGGCAAGTCTCACAGTGTCCAAAATCTGCAGACTCAGACAGGCGAAGCACCTTAGATAAAGATTGAAGTCTGCCAACTGAGGGATGTCCCAACCGACGATGCCAGACAGAAGAATTAACAATCGAAGCGTTACAGGAAGAATCACTGACCAAAAGAGGAGACGAGGGTTGCAGAACATACAAGTTCTGAACAAGCTCAGCAGTGCCAATCATTATATCCTGCGTAGAATCCTTAATAACGCATGAGTGAGCATTGAAGCAAATCTGAAAGTCTGTCTTCTTCAATAGAGCACCAACACTTAAGATGTTAAAAGTGAAACTCGGAATGTATAGAACATCATGCAAAATAAGACGCTGATTGATGTAGACAGTGCCCAACATGTCAACTAGAAGACATTGTCCTGTTGGTAAGGAAACAGTAACAGGAGAACTCTGGCGAATATCAGCAAATAGAGTTCGATCTGAGCAAACATGTACCGAAGCACCCGAGTCCACGATCCAACCATTAACAGGTAATGTATTGAAACTAGCAACAGGAAAACATATTGCAGTGAGAATAACATTACCAGAAGCAGAGTTTTCGGGAGCACCATGTGCAGTCACTGAAGGGCGAGAACCAAGGTGCATCTTCTCCGTGATCTGGGCATATAGATGTTGAATCTGATCAACAGTCATCTTGCTGACATCCAGCAACTGGGATGAAGAAACACCAGAAGATAAAGAGCCAACAATAGATGTGCGAGGGGTCTGATAAGCTCCAGGAGCAGAAACTGGTCCTTTAGGAGGCAATAGATGTTGCTGTCGGGAAGGAGCAGAGACAGGAGTTCTGTATCCCTGGGGAAAACCATGGAGGCGGTAACACTTGTTGATCGTATGACCAACAAGACCGCAATGAGTGCAAACGGGTTTTGGTTTTCCGCGAAAAGTACTGGTCTGGACAGCACCCAAAGGGCGAGAGACAGGTTCCATCAAGGAGGAAGTCTGAAGAACAGGCTATTAAGACAGAAGTGGAGAACGGATGGAACGTTGCTGTTCATGTTGGGTGATGAGATGATACGCCTTCTCCAGATCAGGCAAAGGGTCCAGCATAATGATCTGGCTCCGAATGGCATCATAGGAATCATTTAAACCAAAGAGAAAGTCTATGACAAAGTCTCTCACTCTGCTCAGTCCAGTTATGGGAGATATTGCAAGAACAGTTCCCACATTTGCAACGAGGCACCGGTTTAATGGCTTTAATCTCCTCCCAAATGGTGAAAAGTTTAGTGTAGAATGTGGTGACATCAAGAGAACCCTGTCGGAGACCATGAAGCTTCTGCTTAATACTGTAAAGACGAGGGGTGTTACTCTGTTTGAACCTTTTGCTGAGATTTCGACGGCACAGATTGCTCCGTCTGCTTGAACGAATTTAAAAGAAAACGAGCTGCTGAGATTATTACCAAAGTGTAGCCACGCGTTTCACATCGATCGCATCGACACTTGGTTGCTCTCACACAAGAACTGCCCTTTATGCCGTGCACCTGTACTCGCCAACGAGACAGTCTCTGAATCTCTCCAGACGAATCATTCAGATAATCCGAGCTCGAGCAACGAACCCAGAAGTGAAGAACGGAACGGGAATACAAGTGAAGTCGGCGATGGAACCGAGGATAAAGATCGATTCCCGGGTTCCAGATTCAGAAACCCGAATTTCCTTTCGAGGGCACAAAGCGATTTGGCTAACCATTGTAGAGCAGCAAGAGTGGGAACTGTGAGAAGATCTTTCTCCATTGGAAGCTCGTTGCAGAGAGCTTATGCGACTACAAGAGGATCTATCCATTTCGGTGTTAAGTTATTGTCGTGGACGAGCTCAAGAATCGAAGACCCTGTTCTCCCAACCCGACAGCCAGTTCAGAGTCCGGTTAGGTTGGCCCGAAGAATTGATAGCGTGTGAGATGGTGTGGTCTTTGTGGAATTTGGTTCAAAATTATGAGTCATAAACAATGGTAAGAATTATCATTTATCGACAAATAAAAAAAATAGAACTTTATGTATAATTCTTTACTTTAATACCGATGTAGAATGGAAGAAAGTTGATGGATTAATCCCCCCACCGTGTTTCTGAATTCAAAGTGCACTCAATCCCATGTAAATGCAATCAAAATGCCAAGGAAGCAAAAACTCACTGAAGCATTTCAACAAACACCTGGCAGATATAATCTTACGCACAAGCAACTATACCTAACGAACAAGTAGAAACCTGCCAGGACCCAGAAGATATACAAAGCAAAAAGCGGAATAACCAGACCAGTCTTCCTCCATCAAGCTCTCTCAGGTGTTTGTTGAACCAGAAGTTTATTAATTGAACCGGTTAGTCCGACGTGGCAAAACACGTTATAACGCCGTCAACGATGAATATTTTATTTGGTAAATTTTTAAAAATATAGGTATTTATATGGAAATTTTAAAAAATATATGTATTTATTTGAGAATTTTATAGTACAAATATTTATATGGAAGTTTTGTAAAAGTACAGATATTTATCTGCGATTTTTCCTCGTTCTTTTTAGTTTTGCACATTGTAAAGTCTTGTTTTAGGTATCAATATAACTAATATAATTATACCAAAAAAAATATAACTAATATAAAAAATTTATGAAATATTTGAATAATATTAGTTATCATATTAAACAATGATTTAATATTCTTAATAACGCAACCCAATAAATAATATAAATATAATAGTACACTCGTGTAAAGAAATTTGAGCGTAAATAGCACGGGGGGAGGGGGTATGAAAGTCCAAGGATGGTTTCCGTAGCACACGAGGGTATTTTCGTAATTCCAAGCCATGGCCCCTTCCTCTTTAATTCCTCTCGCCTGCACTCAAGGCCTTTCTCGAACCCCAAAACGCTGCGTGGAGAGAGAGAGAGATTGAGGGATGTCGGTCTCCGACGCCGTGATCAGGAACCTGACGGCGATCTACGTGGCAGTGATTGCCGGAATCAAAGCGTACGGACTTCTCATCGGCCGCAATTTCGGTGCCGTGTCGGTGCTCGCGGCGTCGACGTTGGTCGTCGGCGCTGTCTTGGTCGGAACGCTGACATGGGACATCTGCAGGAAGGCAAACAAGGCGGCGGCTGCGGCGGAAGATCGCCGGAGATTTAGCCGGAGAGTTGAGGAGATGTGTAAAGGAGGGATCTGTTGGCACGGCGTCGCCGTTAAGTCGCCGGCGTCTCATGTCCGGTTTAGGCTAACACATCCGATTCCGTACGGTTCGATGTAAATAACAATAAAATCAGTTTAAACAATTTAACGGAAAATCATAGAGAGGAACTAAGGGGAGAGACAAATACATGGATAAAAATTGAGCAAAATTGTTTTCTTGTTTGTTTTGTCGGTTTCCTTTCTCTTTGAGCATTAACAACTAAATGGCGTTATGGCCTTTTTTTTCCAGAATTTTTGTATTTTAGTGAGATGTTTGGATAAAGTCACATAAAATAAAATAGTGAGGTATAGAGTTTGCTGTCTGTAACCTTATAAATTTTTCGAATTTTGTTTTACAAAATTAAAAAAAAAATCCAAACAAAAGAGAACTCAATCAAAAATAAATTGCAATCTGTAATATTTAGACCCAGTTATAAATTTTGTTTTATTATACCATAGGATTGGGAAGTGAAATGCAGCCAACTATTTTTTGAATTGGGCTTGGTTGGCTTTGGGTTTGATTACTGAATTTCCATTAAATCCAAAAATAAAAAAAACTGTAAGTTCAATTGGTTTTTTTTTTTTTATTGATTTTATTCGTTATAAATGTGTTTGATATGTGTTTGATGTTATTGGTTTGGATTTTATATCGACTCATTATGAGGAATCATGGTAGGGGTGGGCAAAATATTCAAAAAAACCGAACCGATACGTTATTCGATTCGTATCCGAATCGAAAATTCGGATATCCGGAGTTTACGGATCGGATACGGATATTTATTTGAAGATATTTGTCGGATACGGATCAGATACGGATATTAAAATTGAATTATCCGACATATCCGATCTGATCCGTATTTTATAATAATATTATTAAATATAAGAATAATTTGATATGTAGATTTAAAATGTTTAATATCTATACGTTTTTTAGGGAGATTTAAGAAATATTTTATATATATAGAGGTTTATAATGTTTAATCTTTTGAATATTAAAATTTATCATGTTTAGTGTTTTGTTTTGAATTTTGAATTTCGAATATATTTATATTTGATAAATTATGATTGTATTTGTATTTGAATTGATTTGTAGTGTTTAAATTATGAATTTTAAATTATAAATATCGTTTATATTAAATAGATTATATATTTTATTTTTGTTTGAATTTATTATTTAATTTTAATTCAAATTTTTATAACATTTTAGGTCGGATACGGATATCCGGAAATATTCGTGATTTTTACGGATATCCGAAGTTACAGATTGGATACAGATAACAAAATCGAATATTTGTACGGATCGGATACGGATACGGACATCTCAAAAATCCCGAATATCCGATCCGTGCCCACCCCTAATCATGGGAACTTTAAAGTTCGCATCAACAAGTCCTCAATGTGAATGTGAAAAATAATATTTCATCTATAAAAAATACATCAATATAATTATGTGAGAGCAGAAGTGATACAAATTATTATTGGGGTGGAAAAGCGGTGTGGGTATGCACAAAAGTGCTCCACAACCACGGTTCCAGTCCCACACTCGGTAATCACCAATATAAAAAAATAAATAAAATATTGGTTAATTTTGTGGAGATATGTGAAATACAAATTTTTTATGTTCGTATCACCTCAAAAATTTCGAAGTTATTAAAGTACGGTAAACTCATAAAATATAACGATCACATATTCGGAAAAAACTTTTCTAAATACCAAACGAACACAGAGAGATATGAGCAGAGATATTAATGTTCTTTGTTTTTGTGTTATATATCAAATGAACTAACTAACGATATCTATTTTATACTAACGGAAAAAATATCTCACATTATTTATAAAATCACTTTGATTTTATTCTAATTTTATTTTGATTATCAATTTATCATAATTGTTGAATTTTCCAAAAAAATATTTTTATTTAATTTTTTATGCCAATAAAAAATGTTCTTTTAGATTTTTTCATTTAAGATTTTTAGAATTTTTAATAAATTGGGTTTCTCTCGTTTTAATTCCGTTGAGATTCTATCAAATACATCTAAATTCAACCATTAATGTTTTACTTTAATTTTTTTTATAAAGTGTAAAGTGGAAAGAGTACTGACAAACTTGGAACTGGGAGATAAGAAGATTTGATAAGCCCATGACGCAGAAAGAGCCATGATGGAATATTTGCTTTTGTCGAGATATTCATGTGCACATCATAGCTGACGTGTATATATAGACATATTTTATGTACGTATTCGTGCTAATGAATTTTTCAAATTATAATTATTTAAATCAATCCAAGCATTATATAATAATATGGCTACATAGCCAATCAATATAAACGCAAGACCTTATTTTAAATTCGTCTTTTAAAAATTCAAATTTAACAAATATCAGAAATAAAGATAGAAAAGGAAAAAATCCTAAAAACATTATTGAATTTTGAGATGATAATCATATTAATATTGAATTTTACGAATGTTAATAAAAAATACATAAAATTTGTAAATCTAATTAAGAAAATGACTGACTTTGCAATTGTTTTGATAAAATCTAGATTAACATTAAATATCGTTAAAATCGTTAACGGTTAGAGATAATATGATGTTGTTTATGATTCCCGACTACAATTGATATCATAATTCTTGCATGCTTAGTATTATTCAAATACGGATCTCGATATCCGCAGTGTTCGTTGATTGATAGTTTTCTTATTTTTACAACTTTGTTATCTTATCTTTTGCATTTACTTCATAAATATACCACCATCACTACAAAAAAACTATGAATTTTTCCAACGGATCATCCGTTGGAAATATTTCAACAGATTTTCAACAGACGTCTGTTAGAATTATTTCAAAGAATTTCCAACAGATATTCAACAGATAAAACCGTTAGAATTCCATTGAAATTTTCAACGAAATATCAACGGATAAGGTACGTTGAAATTTTTCAACATACTTTTCGACGACTATCCGTTGGAATTAAAAACAAAAATTTCCAACGGATATTTGTTATATTTTGATACAATTTCCAATAGATCCCCGTTGAAAATTTTTGGATCGTTGAGGAAAAATATCCCAACGGAAATCCGTTGGAAAGTTTCGAACATTTGGTAACGATCGGATAATTTCAACGAACACCCGTTGAATATTTAACGCTCGAAGTATTCCAACGGACGTCCGTTGAAATATTTAACGGTTGAAATTTTCCAACGGACGTCTGTTGGAATTTTCTTTTTTATATAACCATCCCCTTAACACTCTCAAGCCACTCTCCAAATCATTCTTCTACTATTCTTATACAAAAAACACTCAAAAAATGTCTTCTTCAACAAATCTCAATGTTCATTCATCCCGACAATGGATATATGAAAGAGTTGATCCGATTACAAAAAAGGTAACACAAGAATTCCTTATCGGTTTGGAGCAATTTATGAATTTTGCTTCGATGCAGCCATTATACCAAGAATATGGAAAAATGCTATGTCCGTGTACAAGTTGTCGAAATTTAAAATTTCACACTCAAGAAGATGTTTGTAAACATCTATTTCGAAGGGGATTCGTAGATGACTATTATATTTCGCGATTCCATGGAGAAGAAGTCCTGACAATTACAATGGGACATGTGTTGGGCAATCAGAGGTATGATGATGAAGAAGTTTTAAGAAATGATGATATATGCTTTTCCTAGGGCGTCGTTTGAGCAAAACTCACAAGAGGATGAGCTAAACGTCGAAACAAAACGGTTTTTCGACATACTGTATATGACAAATTAATCATCTTGTCTATGAACGATGTAAAGAAAGTCAGTTTCGTTTATCTCTTGCATGGATTCATTTTGTCAGACATTGCGTGAATATTTACTTGAAAACAACGAAGCACCACAATCATATAATGATAAAAGGCTATGTTGAAGAATTTGGGAATGCCCTATGAAAATATTGATGTCTGCAAAAATGGTTGCATATTTTTTTGGGGTTTAGAAGATAAAGAATTGGTTCAGTGTAAATTTTGTAGGCTAACAAATATCGTCTGAGTAACCAAAGATCCCTACATTGCAAATCTCTAACCTATAGCTATGGAACTACTCGCTAAACATTGAGACGTTAGTGTTCATATCAATAATACAAAACATCATAAAATAGAAGAAATGAAGAATGCTTAGTCGATTTTTCGACTTCGTAATCTTCGTCTTCTACTCCGATCTCTTGCCACTTGATAATCGCCCCCTTTTGTGTGTTCTAGGGTATGTTCTTTGATAAAAACTTGAATTCTTTTCGACCTAGAGGTTTTTTCCTCTTATTTCTCTTTCATCTTGGGCAAAATAGTAAGTTTTCCAAATATGGGAATCGAACCGATCGTTTCGGTCAAAGCCAAACAATCGTTTCCACTTTCTGAGGAATTTTCCAATTTCTGCGATGCCGAACCGATCGTTTTACCAAGTGCAAAATGATCGTTTCACTCATAACTTTCTGCCCCGCTATTGGATTCAAGTGATTTTGGTGTCTATTCGTAGATATTGAAAAGAGGTTTCCAATTATATAGAGAACTTATGATTTGGACTTATAGAGTGAAAGTTATTGGACGTGCAATATCTCACTTCTCCAGCTTCACGGTTTTTTCTCAAAACCCCTCCAAATGTTCCTGTTTCGTCTGTGATATTCCGTAATCCATGTTTTCCACTCCTTTTACTCTTTTTTATACATGAATACATATTTAAACATCAAAGAACAAAACCAACCAATATCGAAACCAAATGTGCCTCACAATGTCTACAAATTTGTAAAATCGAGTAAAATACATTAGACATCATATATCAAATCATCACACAAAATACGTGTTATCAAATTCCTCCGAACTTAAATCTTTGTTCGTTCTCGAGCAAATACTCCGTGAAAAAGGTCTAAAAGGAGGGCGAGACAATGACATAATTCAAAATGATAATCCAGAACGAAACATGTATTTGACATAGATCCCCGTGAACAATGACGAAATCTGTCTACTATGATTTTCCTCTCTCACTACAAAAAAAAATCATCGAATTCCAACGGATTTGTCCGTTAGAAATTTTTCAACGGATTTTCAACGACGATTTCTGTTAAAACTCCGTTGAAATTTCCAACAGATATCCGTTAGAAATGCCCGTTGGAAATTTTTAACGGAATTTTTAACGTATTCAATTGAAAAATTGGGTTGAAAATTTCCAACGGTATTTCCAACGAATATCCGTTGGAAATTTTCAATAGATATCGTTTCGAAAAATCGGTTGGAAATTTCCAACGGATGTTGGTTGGAAAAAATTTTCAACGGAATTCCAACGGATATCGGTTGAAAATTTTTTTAGAAATTTTA